AAATAACCCAAAACAGAGAAAGAGTTCGGGTGGGTGGGTAGGTGGCCACGCACTATGTGTCCCTGACAAAAATGAAGGCTGAAGTCCAAAGCCCAGTACCTGTGAAGGGCCCTTGTTTAGAAAGAAGATCTTGGAAGTTGTTGGTAGTTAATGTGAGGTCCACTGGAATGGGGTGGCCCCATATAAAACAGGACACAGAAGAAAGATGACCATGGCACAGCAGGGTGATGCTGTAGCTACAAGGCAGGAACTGGGGCCCCCAGAAGCCCCTGGAGAGAGCACGACCCTGCTGATAACCCAACTTGGACTTGAGGCGCCCAGAGCTGAGAGGCGGTGTGCGGGCTGCATCCACGCATGAACCGGTTGTTGTGAAGTGTCGTGGAGTCGGCTCCAACTCACAGCAGACCCCATCTAGGGATTCCAAGGCGCGCTGGCGGCTTGATGAGTGCTGGTGTTTATTAGTGCGGGTGTTAACTGATTAGCGCTAGTTAATCAATAATAATTTAATCAATAATAAATTAGTGTTAATTCCGGAACCTTGAGAAACTGAAAACTCAGGTCTGTCTGTGAAGGACAGGAAGGGAAAGGGCGAGTTCTAGGAGCTACCGCCCCTCCCCGCGGGGGGATCCTGAGTATTTGATTTGCTCTTTCACATCCCCCTACGTCTCCCAGCTCTTCCATGGCAAGTGGGCATTGAAGGATCAGAAAGGGGGACAAAAAGAGTGTTTAAAGAAAAAAAAAAAACTTATAAAGAAATATACCAAAAAATTGCCCTTGGCTCTTTCTGGGCACATTTGTGGGTAAAAATGTTAGGCTTCCTCTTTTCTTCACATCATTGATAATTAAGCTGCTTTTAGGCCCTGGATGGTACTGCTGGTTGAGCAAAGTTTTAAATTCTCCTGAAATCCCGATTTCTAGGGCCTACAAAGTTGGGGTGACCCACTCAGCCCACTGCCCAGGAATGACCCTTCAAATCCTGAGTCTTGAGCAGTGTCCTAAAACCCCCAAACCAACCCCAGTGCCATCGAGTCAGTTCTGATGCCTATCGACCCTGCAGGCAGACGAGAACAGCTCCCTAAGGTTTTCTGAGACAATAAATCTTCAGAGGACTAGGCAGTCTCATCTTTCTCCCTCTGAGAGGACGGTGGACTTGAACCTCCCACCTTGGAGTTAGCAATCCAAACACTTATCGCATAGTGTCACCAGGGTTCCTTGAGTCCAACAAGAGTCTCCTCATTACGTTCAGTGAAGATCACTTTGCCTTGAGCTCTTTTTCAGAATTCTCTTTGGGGACCGGAAGCTCTATTTGAGGGGAAATTGTTATTCTGCAAACGATGTCCTGCCACGGTGCTGTCCCCCAGAGGGGGTGTGAGAATCTTTGAACGTTCTTTTCTCTCAGGGCCCCTGACTCTTTAGTCAGAATGCACAAATCACATGTTCAATAAACTTCAAGTCAGTTTATATTATTAAATTAATAGGACATTTGATTTCATATGCTTAAATTGCTTCATGACTAACTGAAAGTGTGGCAGTTTGAACGCACCCAGAGTCCTGGTGTGGCGCTGTGGGTTCATGCGCTAGTCTACAAAGTTGGTTTGAACTGCAAGGTTGGTGGTTCAAGCTCACCAGTCGCTCCTTGGAAACCCTCTACAGGGTTGTATGGGTCGGAACCGACTCGATCTGACTCTTAAAAAGTCACAGCCTTGGAAACCCTGTGGAACACAGTTCTACTCTGTACATATGGGGGTCACAGAGAGTCAGAATCCACTCAACTGCAACCAACAACTTGAAGTCAGGGGAAAAGTAGAAAGTAACGGAGGTAAGTTGTCGATGGAGGAGCATGTGGCCACAAGGGGGCAGTGTGGATGGGGAAAGCTAAAGGCCAGGCCTCAGACACAGGTTCACGTTGTCTTCCAGCTGGGCATGTGCAGGGACACTGTCTGAGGGGCCTGGGACTGACCTCTCAGACCCTCTCCTGGACCCTGGACCAGCCCTCAAAATTCCAGTAAACTACTGCTTCACATTCCCACCGGGAGATGTAGTGGACTCAGGACAAAGCTCAGAGATGGGACCTGGGGGACGAGCAAGCCCTTATCGCAATGAGATGCCCCAATATTCATTCTTATGTAGGCAAAACGGTTCAAGCCTTGTGAGCCTCCAAGTCAGGGGACTGAACTGAGCCCCCAAAATCATCTGTGGAAAGGAGCCCTGGTTGTGCAGGGGTTAAATACTTGACTGTTTACCGAAAGGTCCAGGGGGAAAAGATGCGGCTATCTGCTTCAATGGCACTGGACGGCTAACCGCAAAGTCGGCAGTTCAAACCCACCAGCCACTCCACAGAAACCCTATACGGGGTGACTATGAGTTAAAGCCGACTCATTGACACTTATTAACAACAATATTTTGCTTCTGTCAGGATGTCTGTCTTGGGAATCCTCTGGGTCAGTTCCACTCTATCCTCCAAGGTCACCAGCAATCCGACTCAATGGCAACATTTCTTCTTCTTTAAAACCTGCTTTGTTTCATTTTGTTTTTTAATATACCAGTGGGTGTGACCTCTTTTGGGAACAGGGTTTTGTTTGTTATGTTACCCTAGTCCCTGCTGAGTGATTTCAAGAGCCAGTTAGACACAGAGAAACAAGCATAAATGGAAGAGAGAGAGAGACCCCCTGAAGATTACTACACGGGGTACAAGAGCTAAGCCCAGGGCCTTCCCTTAGAGCCGAGACTGTCCTGAGACACAGTGATTAGGACTTGTAGCCAACTGACATCAAGGGCTTCCCATCTTTTTTACTTTCAACCAACAAGGTTGTATCATCTCCAGATAACAGACCACAGCCTTTGGTCTGGATTTCATCTCAAGGTAAAGAATAAACAACATCCTGATGAACAGAGAAAAGATTGAAGCTGTCAAGGATTTCATTTTACTTGGATCCACAATCAATGCTCATGGAAAAAGCCATCGAGAAATCAACTGATAGATTGTATTGGGCGAAACTGCTGCACAAGACCTGTTTACAGTACAAAAACGCAAAGATTGTAACGCTATGAAGGCTAAGGTGTATTTTGATCCAAGCTGGGAAACTTTTCAATCACCTCATTCCCATGCAAAAACTGGCCAGTGAATAAGGCAGACTGAAGAACTGATGAATTTGAATTAGGGTGTTGGTGAAGCATACTGAATGTATATACCATGGACTACCAGAAGAACAGAGTCCTGGGGTGGTGCTGTGGGTTAATGCGCTGGACTGCAAAGGCAGCTTGAATCGCAAGGTTGGCGGTTCAAGCTCACCAGTTGCTCCTTGAAAACCCTACACAGGGTTACAATGGGTCGGAATCAACTCAACGGCACTTAACAACACCACCATCAGAAGAACACAGCGGTGTGGTCTTAGAAGAAGTATAGCCAGAATACTCCTTAGAAGGGAAGATGGTGAGATACATTTTCAAGTCCTTTGGGCATGTTATCGGGAGGGACCAGTCCTTGGAGAAGGGTATCCTGCTTGGATCAAGAAGACCTCCCAGGAGTAACAACGCTGGGGCAGTGGTTCTGTTCTGGGCTGCTGGGAGTCGGAGCCAACTCAAGCCAGTTAACAAGCCTGCTGAACTCTGAGAACATGTTTGTGAAGGCCTCCCCGTGTGGCATTTCTGCACTAGAACGGGAGGGCTAAGGGCAGTGGGGACAGTGACATGGCCTGAAGCCATCCTGGAGGCTAAAGGAGACCCGGCAGTAACACAGCTGCAGGAACAAGGCCACCAGGCCCCAGTTATGCGTTGCTGGTACCCACCGGGCAGAGAGCAACACTGGGCATGCATTCCTGGTACCCACCGGGCAGAGAGCCGCGGGACCTGCCACACGGCCTGTGTGGGTGCCCACCGAGAGAGTTGCTGACCGGGGTTTGCATTGCCCCCCTGAGTCACGGGAGCAGAACTAGGCCTTCAGGGCTCCCCAAATCTGTGCCCTCTGGCCGCTCCCCAGACCTCACTCTCAGTGCCCAGTACTATGCCCCATGCATGTACCCCCTGCTCATCTAATGCTGTCGGGACCCCTGCTGACCCTGGGAGGTCCAACTGGTTCACCTTGCTCTTGTGGGAGACCTGAACATCCCCTGCAAAATCCCAAATGTAGCCCCCAAACTAAGATACCTCAGAGGAGCCCCATGGGTCTGTGTGCATTCCCACCCTCTGCTCATGTCCCTCCCCTTCCCTGGAGCCTCAGTCTTCCACATCTGACAATGGGCACGAAGAGACACCATAAAGCGTGTGTGTTAGGTGACTCTGACTCTGGCCACCCACGTGTGGCAGAGTATAAGCCCCCATGGGTAGTCTGGGCTGAAATCTAGGGATTCCAACTACCAGGCCTTTCTTTGGTGACACTGCTTGGGTGGTGTCAACCCTGGGTTGGGAAGACAAGCACAAGCTGCCTGTAATGCCCAGGGTCCCCGAGAACACCCAGGGACCCCAACAATCTCCAGGAACCATACGCCTATGGACCCCAACAACGCCCATGGACCCCAACAATGCCCATGGACCCCAACAATGCCTAGGGACCCCAACAATGCCCAGGGACCCCAACAACGCCCAGGGACCTCAGGAATTTCTAACACGCTGTCGTAAAGATGCTCTGGGAGGGGCCAGGGCGGGAGAGGTGGTGTTCAGAGAAGGTTCTGAGCCTGTTTTGGGTGGGATTCTAGAAGCTCCCGTCTGCAATGGGGAGGGTGCAAGACAGGAGGAGAAGGTCCCTGAGTGAGGGCTCCGGCACGAAGCGGACTCCATCAGACCCATTCCAACTGTGCTCTCCGACACCTCCCCCACCCAGGCATTGACCGCCCCATCCCAGGGTTCCCCAGAAGTGTGACTGGAGGACGTGTGTGCACGGTACAGTAGCTGGGGGGTGGGGCATGGTGGTGTGGCCCATCAGGACCTGAGCTCAGGGACAGCACGGCGCCCTCGGGCCTGACCCTGGAGTCCCATGAGCCCCTGAAGCCCCAGAACGGGGCAGGGAACATAGTAGCATTGCCAGGCCTAGCCTTGGGGTCCAGTACGCACCTGGGGGGGGCAGTACTCACTGATTTTGCAGGGTGGTATCACCTCCAAACACTCCTTGTGTGCCCCAACACCACACCTGGTACACAGGTAACCCTGGTAGAAGGTGCCCCTGCACCGGTGAACAGGAAAGAGAGGGTCAGGAGCCCACAACCACCAGCAGGCTCCCGCGTCCCTGCTCTCAGAGATGGGCTGTCCTTCAACGCACAAGGCCCCCCAAGTCTCTGCACACTGCCGCAGCCCACACTCCCCTTCTCCATACACCCCACTAGCTAGGATGGGGGCTTGCGGTGGGCCTAACACTTGTTGGATGCCCCCCGCGCTCCCGGCTAGGTCTAGGGGGTGGTCAAAGGTGATGAGGACGCTCTATCTGAGGTGTGTGGAGAGCGCTCACCTGAGGAACATCCTACAGGCTCTGCAGTTGGTGGTCTTGTCAAACGTATACATCTGGAAACTGTGGTGGTTGGCATTGGCTTTGTCTGGTTTGATGTTTGATCTGATCAGACAAAGAGGAACAGTATCAGCATTAGCTAGCGACCTTGCCAATGCCGACCTCCCTGTAGTCCCACCACCCCAGAACGTGGGGCTAGACAGGGCATAAGGAGTCTGGGCTCACAACCAGCTCTGTCCCTGCTGCTCCGGGTACCTCCTGGGGCCAACTTCCTGCAGGTAGAATGAGGGTCTGAGGGAAGGTTTTTAGATTATGCCACATGGGCATGACAGAATGTTCTAGACTAATGGCAATGTTCTGAATCTTGGGTGTGGGCAGGTGTAGGCATTTGTCAGAACTCAGCCCATCAATGTACACGTATGATTTCTACACTTCACTGTGTGCTTGCTGGCACTGAAAACTCTAGAAGGGTTTTATTGCATCATGAGCAAAACATGGAGTGTTAAGTATGTGCGTAGTCTTACCTTGAAATATGTGAAATACAAGCTGGCTTCAAGGCACAGGAGTGTGTGTGTGTGTGACCGCCACAGAGCTAGCAGAGTGAGGTGCTATTGTAAGGTGTTTAAAATTCATTCAACTTTACCAAATACTTGACATTTTCTAGAACAAAATGTTGGGCCAAGTATCTTGCACGGAAGTCCAGGGCTGATGGACGCCCTGCAGCACCCACACCCAGCCGTGATGCCCCCAGCCTGGCCCTGTCCAGTATAGCATCTGTTCGACAGCCCAGGTCTGCTGGTCGGATGAGTGACACTCAGCCTCAGGGCAGAGTAACACATCTCTGAGGACAGGTCAGGACAACTGGGCCCACACAGGCCATAGCATCCGAGAAACTGCCTGTCCTGGGAGGCAGGTAAACAGCTGCCACAGCGCCCAGAGGAGCTGGCATTTCCCGACAGCCCTCACTATCCGTCCATCTGCCTCTGCTCCGAGATGGCCAGTCCTCCCAGTACTCACATGGCCATCTCAAACTGCTCCATCCACTTCCGCTTCATGTCTTCCGTCTTGCAGAAAAACTGGAAGCCTTGCTTTCCTTGAAGGTGAATTAGATAGAAGCCGTAGGACCACTGTGGGAGGAGACGGCGGAGACACGCTCGGTCCTGTGTGCGCAGGCCCTCCTGCCTACATGCACATGTGTAGGCAGATGCTTGCTGACTACACATACGTAGCATGTGTATGTGTCTGTGTGCGCATGTGTGTGTGCATGCCAACATCTCTTTTGTGAGTGCATGGGTGCACTATGTGTGAGAACGTGTTCTCAAATAGGTACATGTGCACATGCCTGCAAATACTATGTATGGTTGTGTGCATGTGTGCCCCATGACTTTACAAATGCATGTTTCCTGTATGTGTGCACGTGTGCACACACTGGTGCTTATGGTTCACGTACACCTGGTCACAATGCTATCCCAAGTTTGTGTATGAACACACGCACTCATGCCTGTACCTATATGTGCTACCATGTCCTCTCACATGTGTGCCTACATGCACCCGTGTCTGTGCCCACATACATGTATGAGGGAGCTTCGAAAGGTTCATGGAAAAATGCCACTTTCTTTTCCTTCCATGTTGAAACCCTATCACATCTGTGTGTGTGCATACATGCACCATGCCCATATACACGTACACACTGCTCACACAGGTATATATGCACCTGTCTGCCTGCATGTGTTCATATGTGGGCCTCTGTGTGCATGCATGCGCTCTGTGGGCATTGGACTGCGAACTTCTAAGTTGGCAGTTCAAACCCACCGGCTGCACCTCAGAAACCCCATATAGGGTCACTATGAGTCAGAACCGACTCAACGGCACTTAACAGCTGCAACAAGAAGTGGGTGTATGCGCTTGGAGGCCCTACTCTTCTAACAAGGTATCCTGGGGCCTGCATCCTCCATCTCCAAAATGAGTCCTTCCGTGCCCCCCTCCCCCCCCCACACACACACTCTGCGGGCGTCCCTGGGCATCCCTCACATGGGAGCTGGATCTGGGGCAGCCAGGCCCAGGGGAGCACTGGGGCGTCTGCCCAGGCTCCTCCCATGGGGGCTGTCCATCCACTTTCACTTCCTAAACCTGATGTCAAGAAACCCACTCTGTTCAAGTAAAAACAAAGCAGGGGAAGGTTGTGGGCCTGGGTGTCGGGGGGACTCAGCCAAGCTGGCCCCCAGCTGCTTCCCATCCCCAGTAGGCAGATCACAATCAGCCACCCAACAGGGCTTCCCAAGGGGGTCCAGAAAGAAGAGTCTGGAAGTTATGAGTTCCTGTGTGTTAGCAACGAAGGAAGGAAGGAGAGGGGAGGGAGGAGGGGCAAAGTGGAGGAGGGAAGGGGGAGGAAGGAGGGATGAAGTGGGGGAGGGAGGAGGGAGACATAAAAGGAGAAGCAATGACAATATTAGAAATGCTTCTTCAGAGAACTATCAGAATACAAAACAAACTCAGCCTCCCGCTCCACGGCACTGCCGGGCGGGCTGCTGGACTTCCGTCTTCCACCCCTTACAAGGGACACTCACTCATCACTCACACACGCTACTTCCATGATGACGGAAGACTCGTAAGTGACCCTGGGGAGGAAGAAGGAGGAAACCCTCGCCTAGCTCAGTACACCCAGGACTCTGGCACAACACCCCTGGGGTCCTCGCTCACACCTTGGGGCCCTGTCTCCATACCCTGGGGCCCTGGCCCACTCTTGGGTTCAAATGGGGGCAATGCCACAGGCCCTGCACTGAGGAGGCAGGAAGCAGGTGCTTACCATTTTCCCATGAGACTAGGAAGCATGAGAGAGGAAAGGAGAAAGGGAGCAGGTCATTAAGAGGGTTAGCGTGGTCTGAGGGAGGGCACACTATCCATCACACAGTGCCCAGTCCCAAGCCTGGGGAGAGACTAGTCTCCTGGTTTGGATGTTCGGCTGGACTAGCTCACCCCAGTGGCTCTCCCAGCATGACCTGGCTGCACCTTACACTGTGAACTGAAGGCCAAAGACTGGGATTCTAGCAAACTTGACTTTGGTTCCAATGTCTTCTGTGGAGCCCTCCATGCAGTAGGGCAGAAAGGAGGCCAGGGGGAGCTCCGCCCCCAGCAGCCATAGCCCTGCCTTCCAGCCATGCCCCGCCCCCACACCCATGGAACCAGAGGTCAATCACAGCCCCGCCCCTGCGGGTTTGCCCCGCCCCCTTCAGCCATGGAATCACCCAAAGCAATCACAGCCCCGCCCCTGCCGGTATGCCCTACCCTTGCAGTCATCACCCCTGTAACCATGGCCCCACCCCTATTGCCATAACCCTGCCCCTACAGTCATGACCTGCCCTTACAGTCTGTCTGTAACCACGGCCCCAGCAAGCACAACCCCACCCCTACAGCCAAATCCCACCCCTGAGCAGGCAAAGCCCCGCCCCTACAGTCATAATCCCACCCCCGGTCCTCAACAGAGAAAAGATTGAAATTGTCAAAGGTTTAATTCTTCTTGGATCAACCATCAACACTCATGGAAGCAGCAGTCAAGAAATCCAACGACATATTGCATTAGGCATATCTGCTGCACAAGACCTTTTCAAAGTGTTGAAAACCAAAGGTGTCAGCTTGAGGACTAAGGTGTGCCTGACCCTCATAAGCATGCAAAATCTGGACAGTGAATAAGGACGACCGTAGAAGAAGTGATGCTTTTGAGTTATGGTGTTGGAGGAGAATATTGAAAGTGCCATGGACTGCCCATAGAACCAACAGATCTGTGTTGGAAGAAGTGCAGCCAGAGTGCTCCTTGGAGGCCAAGATGGCCAAACTTCGTCTCTCATACTTCAGTCATACTGTCAGAAGGGACCAGTCGCTGGAGAAGGATATCATGTTTGGTAAAGTGGAGGGTCAGAGAAAAAGAGGAAGATCCCCAGCGAGGTGGACTGGCAAGTGGCAGCGTTGATGGGCTCAAGCGTGACAGTTGTGAGTTTGGCCCAGGACCGGGCAGTGTTTCGTTCTGTTGTGCATAGGGTCGCTATGAGTTGGTACCAACTCAATGGCACCTAACAACAATAAGAAAGTCCTGTCCAGCCCTTGCAGCATGGCTCCACCCAAAGCAGCCACGTGCCTGCTCCTCCCTACACATGGTCCACGCCCAGGTTAAGTTCAGGTCCCCTGGAAACCTTGACTTCAACACTGCAGTCACAGCCCCACCCACAGCGGTCACAGCCCCACCCCTCCAATGCCCAAACCCTGATGTCTGACCAGGCACAGCCAGGCCCAGTGAGTCCTCCTACAAATCCAGGTTCTACTGAGGACAGGGCGCAGGACATCTCACACAGGCTCCTCCTTCCCGCCACCAGCTCCTCACCTGAGAACTGGGGTCCCGAGAGTGCCCCAAGGTGAGACACAAGGAGCTGAAGCCAGCACAGGGCAGCACCATGCCGATGGGCCAAGGGCCCCTCCCAGTACAGACAGAGGCTGGCTGCTCCCTCACCCACCCAGGTGTTCTCTGGGGTCTGCCCCTCAGAAGGCCCAGGAGTCACGGCCCACCTTCTTGATGTCCTTGTTGTTCATGGGGTCGTCAGTCATCTTATGGAAGAAAAGTTCAATGATCTCTTTCAGCTCGTAGCTGTAGCCCTTCCGCTTGCAGACGATGACCACCTTGTCAAACAGGAACAAGTACCTGGCCAGGAGTGTGGCCAGAGCCCCTCAGTCGGCTGCACTCCTGCATGGAGGGCTGGCTCGGTGCTGGGGGACAGCCTGCCGGCGCCCTATGATCTGTGCCCTCGGCCACAGGAGGGTCTGTGCTATCTGGAGGCAGTGCTGTAGTGCCCCTGAACTTCGAGCCCACACCTCCACGACCAGCACCCCAAACACTAGGGTCACCCCTCCCCAACCACCACTCCTGGCAGCAGCCATCCACAGCAAACTTCTGCACCCATTCTGGGTGCGTCCAGGCCCCAGGGACTGAGTGTGTGGGCAGGGCAGCCATTGGGGACGGCTGGCAGCCGTTCTCCCAGAGGAGGAAGGAAGCAATTAGAATGGAACAACCGCTGTTAGCCAGGCAGCTCTGCCACAGGTCAGCCCATTTCCAGGACTGCTTGGGAGCAGGGTCCCCTGGCCACAGCGACAGTCCACTCCAGGATCCCGCCCAGCGCAGGCCACCCACTCACCTATCCTGCTTGGTGTGGTTGGCTATGGACCGGACTTTTAATTCACCATCTATCTTCGGCCTCCCAAACTCCTCCAGTTTCACTTGCTGGGAAACACAAGAGTGCCCAGGTCAACCAGGTGCCAGTGGCCTCCAGCTCCCCTGACCTTACAGCTGCCCCGACAGTGGGTGGGCGGGAGTCCAGAGGGCTCTCTTGAGAGACTAGAGACCAAAGGTGGCAGGCAAACAAAGTGAGCCCAGTGGTTTCTGGTCAGGTCTTCAGACAAAGGGGTACAGAAGGTGGGAATAGCATTGTCCCCCACCCCAGCCTTGGGCACCCAGGACAAAGAGCCATTGATGCTGTGGTGGGGGTATCATGAAGGCAGGCGAGCAGGGTCTGTAGGTACAGCCTGACACAAGCCGTGAGCGAGATGGGAGAACAAATGTTTCTCAGATGGAAGGGCAGCCAGCAGTTCATCGTCCACAGGAAAGGCCCCAAGATTCCCCTGTAGCTCCCTGAGATTTCATTTCCATTTCCGCTGGGGCTGACCCTCTGCTTTGATTCAGCAACAGCTCCGCCTGATGAGTTCCCAGGATGGCTTTCGAAGGAAGATTCTCCACAGAGGAAAAGGACATTTTCGGAGCTTTCTAGAAGCTTCAGAAGACAACGACCAGGAGTGCAGCTTGGGCACCACCTCCAGTTCCTATCTCTAAAGTACAGAAAGGAAAGACACGAACTTCCTCGGGTCAGCAACGGATTCAAGGAGATGACGCCGGGGCTGAGGCCAACTCTCCATACTGACGATACTAGCTGACCATCACTGGTCTATGTTTCCTAATGAGCCATTCTATGAGCTCATAAAACTTTGCAAAGAAAAACTCGGTTTCCTGTTATAAAAATAATACTGACCACAGCCCAGTGTATAGAAAACATCAATGGTGCTGTGGTCACTGTCCACAGTTTAAGCCATGTCCATCCTTCCCCTCCTAGGCACTCAGACATTTGCTTTCTCACTACCGTCGAGTCATCTCGATGCATGGCAACATCATGCACAACCCTTGTGTTCCACAGTTTTCATTGTCAAATTCTTTGGACATTGACTGCCATGCTTTTCTTCCTAGTCTCTATTAGCCTGGAAGCTCCGTTTAAATCGATTCAGCATCATAGCTACACAGGAGCCTCCAATGACAGGTGGGTAGTGGCTACACATGAGACGTATCGATTGGGACTCGAACAGGGGTCCCTGCATGAAAGACAAGAGTTCTACTACTGAGTAACCAACTCCGACATTTTTCTTTCTTTCTTTTTTGTAAGCTGGGGACGTATCCTAAGAAAGACTCCAGAGAGCTCTGAATAGGAGACTAGTCCAAAGAGACGGTGTTGGTGTCACGTGCGCAGACTAACGGAGGCG